TATTTTATTATTCTACAAAAAAAAAAAAAAAAAACAATTCCGTATCAAAACCACATATATTCAAAACTAATAAACTTCCAGCATCTCACGGGGACTGTAAGTAATTTTAGCATAAAATGCTAGCAGCTAATAAAGTTAGCCTCCCATGTGTACATGGACCTTGAGCACCGGGGCTAACGGTTCCGCTGCTGTGACAAAAAGAAAATAAATGTCAGTCCACTTGACATCATACTCACAGAAACACAGGGGCTGGACGTGGTGCTCGGAGTCGGAGACCGCTGGACGGTGACCAGCGCCATCCCGGCTACCGCTGCCAGATTCTCGGTCACCTCGGAGACTGAAAAGCCGGGATATCGCACATTATTTTAGCCGAGAACTACTGTACGGAACTCCCGAGGTTATTCCGCCGGAGGTAGCTGCBCTGTCAAGCTGCCGAGTGGCCTCGGGGGTAATCAATCGCATCCGGTTAGTTTTCCTTCAAAATAAAAGCAGTAAACAGGAAGCTGCGTTTGAACGAAATTAAAAACTAATTTCAACGCAGTTTTAAAACTACATTTTTTTGCTATTAATTTATTGAAATCTAAAGTTATTTATTTAGTACCTTGCTATCTATGGGCTACTTTTAGACAACATTTGCAGAAGTTTTCTTAAAAGAGCGCCACGTGGGGGTTTTATTTTGCTAGAAGAATGTTTACACTTCCTGTTTTGTGTTTCCTAATTTCTGCTTGCTTTGTTTTGCGAGTCAGGACAGTGTTTTTGCACATGCGCAGTGTTGTTCGACTGTCAAACGCGTTAGTGGCAGCTTAATAAATGCTTATTCATACTTAGGTCATTATTCATCACTTGGGTAAAGTGAAAATAACAAACGATTATTGAAGTGTGAGGAAACTAACCAGTATGCAGAGCATGTGTGTGTATCAAGACAAATGTTTGACAGATGATAAATAGCATCGTGGATTTAGCACGTGCCTGTCATTCTCTGTTCTCTCTCTCTCTCTCTCTCTCTCTCTCTCTCTCTCTCTC